TACGAATGTACAGCGCCTCCAGTGTGAATCTGTGCGCGCTGTTCCGGGCTGGTGTGATGACACTGAAGCTGCTGTTGCGTTCTTGCGGGATGCATTCAGGTTGCGCCTGCAAATGCTTTGTGATGGCGCTATCACTTGTTGCCACACGTTTGTCAGGCGGCTTCTTGTACAGCTTGTCTGGGATATGCTGCTTGATCCTTTCCGAGAATCGCTGACATGTCTCACCAACGTACGTTCGCTCACAGCGACACGCATACTTATAAACAAAATTACTTTTTTCAAGAGTTGGTGAAACATCCTTCGCGATAGACCTGAATGCGGGCCTGGTTGTATAAAGTATGCGTGTCGCTGTGAGCGAACGTACGTTGGTGAGACATGTCAGCGATTCTCGGAAAGGATCAAGCAGCATATCCCAGACAAGCTGTACAAGAAGCCGCCTGACAAACGTGTGGCAACAAGTGATAGCGCCATCACAAAGCATTTGCAGGCGCAACCTGAATGCATCCCGCAAGAACGCAACAGCAGCTTCAGTGTCATCACACCAGCCCGGAACAGCGCGCACAGATTCACACTGGAGGCGCTGTACATTCGTAGTTTGAGGCCAGAGCTGTGTCGACAAAAGAAGCACATCAAGGTGCTGCGGCTGTTCAAGCTGCAACCGGACTGACAGCTTTATCACGTGTTTGTTCTGGTACTGCATTCCCCTCATGTGTTGTTTCCCGCATTTTTCCACCGCTCCATACATTCTTATGGTAGTGTAGTGTGAACTTGAGGCGCGTAAGAATATTCTTGCTGATTCTCTACCCCCAGTATAAATTCTGGCTTCGTTTTCGTTCTTGCTCATTCCCATGTATCTACTGATGAAAATGGGTGAAAAGCTTTTAGTATTATGAAATTGACAACCTTGTTGTTGTGTGTATATAAATTTTGTTCGCCTACGTCTCTATTTAAATATATATATATATATGTAAAAAGGCAACGTGGAGACAATAATCCTAGTAATGAATTCCATTGATAATTGTGACAAGAAAACGTTCTGGAATACTTTTTGAAGTACTTTATTCGTCTCTATGGTTGTGATATGATACGAGTGCACATAATTATAGTTTTACTCATTGCAATATAAAAATACATTTTTTAGTTTATAATAAAATTGAGAGATGGTTTCTATTCTGGGAACATTACTTCTCGGAGAGTCATTGCTCCAACAAGTGGTACTGAGCTCTTGAAGATGCCAATACCATATAAGTTGTACGGCGATGTGTATACTGCTGTACATTCTAGCCATACGGATAGATAACGAGAGGATTTGCACATTCATCTACAGAGCCCCACTCACAGGGATATAGATAATTTAGATAGATTCCTGCTCAAGTGGGTCAATGTACAAATTCAAACCGGCAAACGTGCCTGTGCAACTCTCTCCACAGCAAATGGCTTGAGGTAATCCGTTAGAGAGCCAGCCATCCAGATAGATAGATAGACAGTGCTATCAGGTTCGGCCTCATTTCCTCTGTGCTGCGCTGATGAGTTCACCAAGAACGAAACAGCATGCCGTCCACAGATTGAGTATTTTCGCTCCTGCTCTTGTAGTAGTTGAGCACTCTCATGTGGGGTAGTGCCTTTGCTGTTTGCATTACGCAGAGCTCACTGACTTGTCAGTTTGAGCACTCTGGCAAGGTACATTCGGGCCTGATCGGAAATTTATATTTTCATTGCTATCAGGTTCGGCCTCATCTCCTCTGTGCTGCGCTGATGAGTTCACAAAGAACGAAACAGCATGCTGTCCGCAGATTGAGTAGATAGATAGATAGATAGATAGATTGATATACCCGGTAGTTGCTTGATGATCGTGACTACGTGAAACTCGGAATTGCAACACAATTTCCAATTTCTCTTGTGTAGATAGATAGATAGATAGATAGATCGATCGATAGATAGATAGATAGATAGGTAGACAGATAGGTAGGTAGATAGATAGATAGATACTCAGAGAAATCGATGGATAGAGAGACGGATAATTAGACGGACAGATAGCAAAGAGGTAGACAAACAGAAAGACAGGAAAAGAGAAAGACAGAGAGAGAGAGAGAGAGAGAGAGAGAGAGAGAGAGAGAGGGAGAGAGATTGATGTTATGAACTACAGAAGAACAATCAGACAGACAGTTAGACAGACAGACAGATAGATAGATAAATGGATAGATTGTTGTTCTCGGATTGCTTGATGGCCATTAAACTCCGCATTACAGCATAATCCAGTCTAGTTTTATTGCCAACATGCGTAGATACATAGATTAATAAACAGATAAACCAGAAAGAGAAAGAGGGTTAATTTGGATTCGGCTTAACTCAAAGTTTCATGCAACTGCCATCCTAATACGTCTGATACTGAAACGTTTGAAACGCTCTGCACTTTGTGCACCAAGTACGTTACAGGGAAATGCCGAAACGTGCTCCTTTGTAGACAAACAGGTAGTTCAATAGGGGTGATAAAGAGAGGTGAGGTAGAGATGAGAAGGGAGAAGAGGTGGATGTAGAGAGGGAGGGAGAGAGAGAGGGAAGGAGAGAGGGAGAGAGAGGGAGGGGGAGAGAGGGAGGGAGAGAGGGAAGGAGACAGGGAGTGAAGGGGCGGGGGAGGAGGAGTGCGAGACGGATTTGAAAGAAAGGTGTGAGGGAAAAAGCGAGGCAGTTTTCGGGAGGGAAAGAATTATAGTGTGGAATAAAATTTAATGAAAGTGCGGTTACGATTGAGCCCGTGTAGATCGAGAGACTGACACCACACATTGGTTACCGTTAGAAAGGAAAGGAAATTAATGATTGAGAATGGCCCTCGGTTTGGTGTGTTGTGTGAGAGATGAAGAGGGAGATAGACAGAGATACAGGAAGAAGAGGAGAGACATGCGGCGAGAGGTAGAGAGGAGAGACAAAGAGAGAGGAATAGACATGAAGGGAGTGAGTGTGAATTACAAAAAGTGTAACAGAAAGGAACGGAGGGACAGAACGAACCCGAACACAAACTCACACATTCACGTCCACACAGTCATACACAGACGAATAAACGCGCTCAAAGAGAGTGAGAGTTAGAGAGATGGAGACAGATATTGAGACAAATAGATCGACAGATACTAGTATGTAGATAGATGGATAAATAAATAGATAGGTAGATTTACAGATAGATAGATAAATAGATAGATGGGTAGAAAGGGACAAGGGAAAAAGGCAATGGATGAAGAGAGACGGTGTTAGAGTGAAGGGAGGAGGAGATCTAGATAAAAAGGAAGGGTAAAGAGCGTGATGAAAAGAGAGGGATGGGGAAATGGAGGTACAGAAAGAAGGAATCAGAGGTAGAGAGACTGAAAGATAGAGAAAGACTTGAAAGAAGGAGGCAGAGAGAGACAGAGTTAAAGAGATTAGAACAGAGGGGTAGCGTAGGAGATGATAGGGACGGAATGGATTTAGGTATAGAGAGGTTTGTTTGTTTCATTTATTTCAATTCGTTGTGGGTGGCTCCTTCTACTTTTGGCTGATGGCTGATCGTCTCGAGTCATGTTTAGTCATGATAGCAAACAAACAATGATATACTCACCATTATGACATTATTAGGATGACCAAAAGGCAGATCGCCTATGGGGGGCTCACCCCATTGAATGGTTGTGGTATGTCAAAGCAAAGGGGCAACCATTGTGTGTGTGTGTGGGAGTTTCGACCATGAGGGCATGCAGAAAAACCCGATCAAACCGTTAGCCAGGTGATCAATCAATGATGTTGCTACCACTGGTTTGTGTAATCTGGTCGGCATCCTTGAATGTTACTCGGGTATATGGTCGGCGCCCGCCTCAGGTTCTGAGGATTTCCCCACAATATCCTCCTCAAGGAATAGAGGTGCGGGGCCGAATAGTTCTACCAACGTGGAGCAAATCGCGATGCTGTTAATGATCATAGTAGATGCACGAGTGCAAGCGCGGATGAGAGCTCCAGGTGATGTGACTCCAATATTAATACTAAACACGTTGACAGCGTCACAGCAGGTGAGACGTTGACGATTAGCAGCTGTGTTCGACTCACACAAACGACCAGCTGCCTTGTAGTCTGCACATCCAACATCACCAGCATTTCTAATAGATAAACTTTCTCACATAGACATGTACACACCATTAATGATAAATATGGTAATCGCACACCCAACAATAATAATGGATGTACTAGTATAAACCTGACTGGGGGTATCGCAATGCATGCATCACACGTTCGACTCAAGCTGTCACCCAGAATTACGTCAATTACGCTTGAGGTCAATCTGGGAAAGGTGACGTCCTTCTACTCTGATACTGCACCTATCTGATCTGTTTTCCAAAATGAAATCATCTTGGAATCCATGTTGCACCTCTTTGACATAAATATCGGTCTGACTGTTTAAATCTGGTTTAGTTGGCCGACTCTAACGCATAACGTGTGTCCGCTGTTTTCCTTGCTTCCATTCTTAATATTTTCCTTGCGTCACCATCGGAGTATAATGGAAGTAGGACATTTAACCTGAGAGTGGCGAATAGAGTACTCTAAACGTTTTCTACTGATTCGTGCAAACATCTAGAAGAAAAAACATTGCTCTACGGTGGAAAACGCTTGGTGTACAATTACATTCAATAGTACTAGATTGCTCAAAGAATACGTTTAGTAAAGCAAAATTCAAATTTGAAAATAATGGAACAACGCGATCGTTTGGTACTTATTTCCTATAATTTTGAGCACCAGGAAAAATTGATGGCAATACAGATCGGGAAAACTGGTATGGGGAATGCAGGGGGATGAGTGCGTGAGGAATTGCGATTGGCTATGCACAAACCAAAGATACCAGGATTGTGTTAAATGAATGAATGTGTACGTTGAGTGGTCTTGGTCGAACTGGTCGTGTTTGAGTGATCACTTATACTGGCTGAAATCGTGCGAGCAGTGTTTTGTGGAATGTTGAATGTTGAAAGTGAAAAGACATGTGAGATGAGTTAAATATCATCCATACCTCTCTCACCGTTCTGGCCCGGTGGACCAGTTGGTAACCCATCTCCACCAGTACCGCCAATTCCGAGGTCGCCACCTGTACCGTTGCCACCAGCATTAGCGTCACCACCATCACCACCATCGCCACCTGATCCGCCAGTACCATCTTGGAACGGGCCAGCCATGGCATCACCACCAATTCCTCCATTTCCGCCGTCACCTCCATTTTGACCGCTTCCACCATCTCCTCCATCCCCTCCATTGCCTCCTGGAAACCCATTGTTCGAAACACGAATCCCTCCATCACCACCATCACCACCATCACTACCATTGGATCCCTGTCCGCCATTCCCACCATCCCCTCCATTTCCACCTGGCTGTCCTCCGGTACTCGTGCTGCTAACAGAAGATTTGGTAGCATCACCTCCATTTCCACCATTGCCAGCTCTTTCTCCCCCGATTGATGCACCCCCTGCCCCACCACGGCCACCATTTCCCTGGACACCACTATTGTCGGCCCTTCCCGGTCCAGCTATACCACCAATGCCCCCTATACCACCATCACCACCATTGGCACCAGTGGATTGGCCACCATTCCCCCCTTCACCCCCGTCACCACCAGCTGATCCAATCCTACCTACTCCTCCTCTTGATCCAGCACCTCCCTCTCCGCCACGACCTCCTTCGCTCCCAGAAGAGCCAGGTCCACCAGCGCCACCGATTCCACCATTGCCACCGGAACCTCCCGTTCCATTTGGGTTAAAGCCTCCAATACCAGCTCTGCCACCAAAACCACCATTCCCAGCATTGCGACCTCCGCTCGAGGCGCCACCAACTCCACCCTGGCCACCGGCACCACCCCTACCCCCGAGGAAAAAAACTGCGGCATCACCACCAATACCACCGTTTCCACCTACACCACCATCACCACCCAAACCGTTCATACCTGTTCCGCCATTCCCACCATCACCACCATCTCCTGCGTCTTGTCCATCTTCACCATCTTCGTTGTCTTCGCCATCACCACCTGTTCCTCCTTGGCCTCCAACACCACCATTGACTCCATCTCCACCATCACCTCCACGGCCACCCGGACCACCATTTCCTCCATCTCCACCGTTTCCACCAGAACCCCCATTGCCTCCTTCACCTCCATCACCTCCTTCACCTCCATCGCCACCTCTACCGCCGTCCCCACCAGGCCCACCCGAGCCACCTCGACCACCATTTGCACCTATTCCACCAGCTCCACCGTCTCCCCCGTGTCCACCAGAGCCAGACTGCGCGCCACCAGAGCCTCCATTACCACCATTTCCACCATCACGTCCAGGACATCCATCAGCACCACGACCACCATTTCCACCATTTCCATTTGAAGAGACACGTCCACCGTCACCACCAGCACCACCAGCACCAGCGAGAGTACAAATGCCACCATCACCTCCATCACCACCAGTTCCATTCACTGCAAGACCTCCATTTCCTCCACGTCCTCCAGTGCCACCCGTTCCAGCAGTTCCTCCATCTCCACCTCTTCCACCAACTCCGTTTACGGTTCCACCTCCATCACCACCATTGCCACCATCCCCACCAGGGCATCCATCGGCACCACGACCACCAGTTCCGCCATTTCCGACTCCTAACACTTCACCACCTGTTCCACCATTGCCCCCCGTACCACCATCTGTGCAAATACCACCATTACCAGCGTTTCCACCATTACCAACCCGTGCTGGACCGCCATTTCCTCCCCGTCCACCAATAGCACCAGTTCCACCAGGTCCTCCTGGCCCTCCTTCACCACCATTACCTCTCGACGGTCCGCCATTACCGCCGCCACCTCCAGAACCTCCATTAGCACCCTCTCCACCACTTCCACCCATTCCTCCAATGCCACCGTTGCCTATAGCATTAGATGAGCCGCCATCACCACCTTCGCCCCCAGCAGTCAAAATACCGCCATTACCTCTGCGCCCTCCATTTCCTCCGTTAGATAGTTCATCTGGTGCTCCCGTTCCGCCATTTCAGCCCCTAGCACCAACCAACAAGGTCGTAAGACCTGCACTATCACCAGAATTTCCACCGTTTCCACCATTTCCAGCATTACCCCCAGTGCAACCATTACTTCCCCGACCACCTCTACCTCCAACCCCATTTCCAAATCCATCTCCGCCATTACCACCATCACCAGCAGCTCCTCCAACCAGGCACACACCTCCACCTCCACCAACAGCGCCGTTTCCATTCTCCCCACCATTGCCTCCTTGTCCTCCCGTACCACCCAAACCCCCAATGCCTGCAGTGCCACCCATTCCACCTCTGCCTCCCGTCCCATTGTCGCTTCCATTGCCTCCTCTTCCTCCCGTACCACCGACAGCACCCACACCTGCTTCACCACCCATTCCTCCTATTCCTCCGTTTCCTTGACTTCCTGCGTTACCACCAGCACCGCCGATTCCTCCATCAGCCGCTATCCCACCACTACCACCCAATCCTCCTTGACCACCCTCACCCCCTACTTCTCCGCCCTGTCCTCCTATTCCGCCATTACCTCCGACTGCTAGTCTTCCGCCATTACCTCCAGTTCCTCCAATACCGCCGTTACTATCAGCTCCACCAGTTCCCCCATTTCCGCCTCCACCTCCAACCTGGAGGGAGATTCCGTTCATGCCCATACCGCCATCTCCTCCATTCTGCCCAGGACCACCTTCGTTGCCATTCTCCCCAGCTTGAGCGGGTCCTAAAGTCATTTGGTTGTTACTAGTCCCGTCATTTTGACTTATTGCGTCATCCCCGTCAGACCTGCCACCTCCGTCGTCTTGTGAATCCGCACTAGGATCAGACTCACTGTCAGAAAAGGATCTAGCTTGCCTGCTATGCTCAATCGTATAGCCAGTGACGTCATCATCCAGCGAAACTGTTGATCTAGCGGTGGCGGTAAATAATCTTGGATGACCTGCACAGTGGTTTAACACAATAAACGATGTGTTTGACATCGGGATTGACTACATTCGGCTGCCACGCCTGTATTATCATATCTAACTCGGATACTGAATCAGTAACTTTTATTAAAAACAAAGAAATCACCTGGAAACGAGTTATGATGCAACTATCCACCAATGTAACAAGATAAGCAGCCAAGAAGTGCTTCCCCTCATCGCTCCTTCCAAACCCATGAACCTTTCGAACTTGAAGGCTATTGATTTGCGCACTAAAGGTGTGGTGGAGCCATGGGTAGTTGCTTCATAACTTGTTTCCATGTAATTTATTATATTTTAATTGCATAATATCTATAGGAAAAAGCGAGGACTAAGTAACCACAATTTATGCTATAATGTCCACTAAAACCACCATTACTTTACAATCAGCTTATGCGATAATATTGGCCGACACTGATCCACAGCACTCGTCGTTAATCATCCATAAATTCTGCTTCGCGTTGGTTAAGCTGGGAACGTGAACCGAAGTGGCCAACAATTGAAGTGATGTTCTAACGAGCCAAACATTCCTTTTTAATCTCAGAATTGCGCTAAGTCGAATTCTCACCTATTGATAGTAATAATAATACCGTATTTTCCCGTAATCCCATGGATGCAGCTAATGGGATTTCGGTCTTTGACCACTTGGTGGTGAGTCTGATCTACTCACCTCCCACCGTTTAGGCGCTGCATCTGCGCCTTTGATCCTAGAGGGTGGTGGCGTTCCCACGGCGGATGCGGAAAACTCGGCTTCCAGCCGAGTCTCACGCGAACCGTGAAATTTATTATTTTATTTTTCCCGTAAGTTAGTTATAAAGTTTATATTCAGGATTACCCCCCCCCCCCCAAACACACATTTTTCGATGCCTAGTTGTAACGCTGACGCCGAGACCTCTGGTCGGTTGAGTAGTAGTAGTAGTAGTAGTAGTAGTAGTAGTAGTAGAATTTATTATTTTACTAGGGAACTCCCAACAGGCGTTGCCTTTTTACTGGGAACCCTAGTTGCTCCCAGCACATCAGCACGTCGTCCCTACATCCCCTATGTTTTGTCCTTTTTCTCGTTTATTTTTGTTCTCCACCTGTATTCCAGTAGGGCTGTGTCAATAGTAAAAAAAAAAAAAAACTACTTCAGATTTGGCAGACAGATCTACCACCAGCTAGATGGGGTTGCTATGGGGAACAACCTGGCACCTCCATTTGCCATCCTGTTTATGCACACCATTGAGACACGACTTCTTCAGGACTCACCCTTCCAACCCATTCTGTTCAGACGATACATCGACGATATCATCATTCTATGGACACATGGTAGGCAGCGCCTTCTGGAGCTCATAGAAAGATTCAACGCCAGCCACGAACGTATCAAATTCACGCATGAATTAAGTTGTGACAGTGGCTGCATAGACTACATGGACGTAACGATCGCGGTTGGGCAAACCGGAGAGCTGTCATTCAAATTGTTCCAGAAGGCATGCAGTAGTGGCCTACTGGTGGATTATTCATCGGCAGTTCCTCACCACATCAAGTTCGCCGTCGCTCAATCTCAATTCCTAAGGCCACAGCGACTATCGTCTAACCCCATGATGCAAGCCGAGAGCGAACAAAAAATACACAAACAACTGCGCATAAATAACTACCCAGACAGTATCATATCGGAAGCAAGGGAAGCTGCCAGGAAACCTCGGCGTAGACGACGCGGTAATCCCCGCTCTGCCTTCCTTAAACTACCGTTCAAGTCCGATGAAGTACATCACCATGTGAACAAAGCAATACGGAAATACAAGTTGCCGGTACGTGTCGTATACGAGCACTCGGGAAGCCTCAGGCGTCAACTGTGCCGTTCGGCGCTGTTACCACCCAAGTGCGTAAACTAGCCCAACATTACTGAAAAAAGACGAAGAGGACGTCCACTAGGGCCTTGCATTACCTGTCAGTCTGGAGGCGAACGAGTATGTATGACAAAGAATGTAGTCTACGAATTGCAATGCAAATGGTGCCGGGAAACGTATGTAGGGGAGACGGAACGCTCCTTGGAAACAAGAATTCGGGAGCACAATGGCGAGGCACGCCGTCGCACTCTCGATAAGTCATGGGGTGACCACGTGCGCGACAAACATTCTGGCGAGAGTATAGCTGCTGCGGATAGTGTGTTCTCGGCTGTGTCAGTCCTGGCAAGGGCAGGCGACAGAGCAAGCAGAAAACTGCGAGAAGCTGTTGAAATCCGCAACTTGCGGCCGCAAGTAAACACTAATGCTGGCTGGGCACTACTGTGAATATATCGTATCTGGATATTAATATATCACCAATCCCTTTCGCCACCTTTGTAGCTGACACATTTAGCGCAAACACAGCACGGCACAGTATATTTGCTGCTCCTTTGTAGAGTGCACATCATTGCAAACCTGATGAGGGCTATATGCCGAAACGTTGTTTTAACTACGAAAATGTGTTCGAACGTTGCAGTATAAATAGAAGGGAGCGAGTCTGCTCCATCTGTAATTCTGTATGAAACTGCAGGAGGCCTCACCGCTTCTAAAAAAAAAAAAATACCCAAAGGCTTACGATGATTCTCTATTCTACACCTAAGTAAGTTACCTTCTATATTTCTCACTTATCGTGGCCGGAGTTGTATCAATAAAATTTTGAAGGAAGCAGAGAAGGCTGCTGTGTAGGTAACTGGTGTCACAGCAGTAATAGAAGTAACTAAACAATCAGCTCATGTGAACATTCCACGACACTGACCAACGGTACTTAAGGTTTGCACCTGACTGGCTATCAACTCTAGCACATCTCGGATGCGCACTCCAACAACCTTCCATCTCGGACCGTCCTACGTTTTTCTAACTTAGCACGTTCCAAGCCCAAAAACTGGTGCAATGCGCATCCAAGATGTGGGAGAGTCGATTGGAAGTTACCTCGCTCTAACCGAGTCCCACGCGAACAGTAAAATAGTTCCATTTCGTATTCAAAATCCTTTCTCAGATTACATTGTAAATTCATGCAGATCATTATCTGAACACCTTGAACGTTTCCACCTATCTCTGCTCGAGTCGCAGAAGACCCAAGACGAACAAACGTGTTATTTTTCGTTGGCTGAGCGTAGCGAATGAAACGAAAAATGTATTTTTTGCCAGCATTTTCACCATAGTTACGGCACCAGGATTGCGTCAGCTGGTTTTTTGTCAGTGTTCTCAAACTTTTCTCTTCATCGTGGTCTTTCTCTTTTCGTTGTAGTTTCCCACCCGCCCTCCCGTTTATTCTCACTTCGGGATAGGTCCTGCAGGCTACGTTTTGTTCATTTATCTTATGGGATTATTCTGACCGGTTTTTCCTCAGGGTTGTGCCTCCGCCGGGGTCCTGAGGTTTTTTCCGCCAGCTTCGGGCTGGGTAATTATCCGGCGGCCCCATTCACCACAGTGGTTCACTTCTTGCATCATGTTTGTCTGGTACATACGTGTACATGTATATGCGTGAGGTGGCATGCCCTTAACCTTCTTCATGCTACTCTATACACTACGCTGAGCTCTTCCATCTTCCACCGTGAGTGAACAAAGACCACACTACGTGAGTGAACAATGACCACACTACTACTGTGATCTGTATCTTTCTGTTGTGTGTGGGTGGGTCTGCGGTGTACGCAGAGGCCAGCTAGCTGGCAAAAATGAACATTTCTTGTCAATATACATGTACGCTTTGTTCTATATTTTTTGCTTCCTCTGATTACCAGGCGGTTATGTAACTTCTTTACCGTCACGACAAGGCTACTCTTACCGTGTAGACTGTTATACGCGGTGCCGTCCACTGGGTTGGAACAGAGCGTGAGCTGCATGCTCATCAAGAGAATCCAGTTTGCCAACATCAGAACTGGGATATGAATCTGCCCTGGCAACATTGTCCAAGGAGCA